TAGTTTTTCTGAAAGCCATAACAAAATGTGGATTTGCACTGAGGTAGTTATTAACTAACACCTCTAATCTTTCAGGTAATGGTATTTTTTGAGTAGTGATTTTGGCCATTCCTGTCCCTGCAATTAGCTTCCTGGTGCTCAGTGTGTAACAGGCTAATAACGGACATACTTCATTTGGACTGTGCATCTTAACCCGCACTGTAGAACACCGAAGTTTTGGGGACAGAGCCACTTTGTGAATGTGTGTTCCTTACTGTTGCACTTTTTAAAAAACATGACTAATAAGGTCAACTACTTAAGTTATAGGGTAATAACATCATTAAGTTTCTCTTCTGGAGGGTTAACAACTTAAGTTTGCAGACCAAAAATTAGAGAAAAAGAAGGGCCACAAGGATAGCCAACATTTTGGCCCTAGCCCTTTAAGGTCAGTGAGGACTCAGGACATAAGGGAACTGTACTGTACCATCCTGTAACTCAGTGGTGTTCCAAATTTTCTGATCAAGGAAATTATGGGGCTACAGAGGAAAGTGATCAATGATGTAGAGTATTCCTAAGGAGAGTCACATGGCATTCTCTCAGGGTTTCACAGAGAGCAAATTGGCCAAGCAGTGGCTATGACTCATCCACATGGCTGACCCTGACAAAAGATCTACAAACTGCGGTACAGGGTTTCAGGGTAAATCCTGATGGGATTTGTCTGACCTTGTCAGATATAAAAATTGCATTTCTTGTTATATAGGTCTTTATCTTGGTCTTAACCATCCAGCAGAAAAGTATAAAAATGAGGTATAAAAAGTAAAGCTATATTAATACACTGAGCTATAAAAGACTCAAGTCAACAACTTCTGACATTGCCAGTCCTATGGATAACCCACTACTCTTATGGACTACTGGAGTATATTGGATTATTTTGTTGAATTTACACTCCTACAATATTTAAATGACAATGGAATACCCATCTCTGACAAAACTAAAACAGAAAAGGGGATACAAATGAAGGACCATTGTGTATCTGTATATACAAAATAGGATAGATGTACAGTTACTTTCTCTTTTTCAATGAGAAGAAAGATTTGTACTAACAGTGTTTGGACAGGCTATCATGTCTGCATCTTGTACTGTGAATAACTACTACAGAAACAACAATATGCAATGTATTAATTATTGTAACTGTCCTACTAACCAGTTTTGAAACTCATTGCTATTTGTTTCTCAATAAAATTAATAAAAAATAAATAAATAAAAAGAAAGAAAGAAAAGGAAATCTGTAAAAAGATTATACACAGCTGAAAAAAAATTTAAAAATAAAAACATGACTATTTATCTATAATTTTACCCACATGAATAATAAAATAAAATAGGCTAGGGCGAGAGAAGATTTCAGGAGCCTGCCAGGAGAGATATCATCCTTGGTGAGCATGTACCTACTCAGCCATTTTTATCATTTTGTAGCTCAAACTAACTACAGTGTCTAAAAAACTATTAAAAATAACATTGCAAAAATTGCCAAAAACTTGCCTTCCATTTGCAAATATAGAATGGAATCTAACATTTATTTATATAACAGGTAGATACTTAACGAATATCCAATATACTTCTATGAAGTACATGAAGTATAAACACCACATAACTTCTTTCCAGATGCATAAAGCTATAACTGTTACAGAGTCAATGTTCAATACATACTTGGTGAATTAATAAAGTATACCTCAACCAATGTTTTTCAATAAGCATCCCACCAAATAACTATACCATAATCTAAAACTGGCAAAACTGAAGATGTAGAGTGACAAGGAAATGGAGAACTTAGATTCAAGGTTTTCACTCTTTTAAGTAATAGATGTCTTATAAATATCAAGACAGAGATATCAGAAGGAAAAAGAAGTGAGTCAGTTATCTAGGAAAGCATTCAATCTGCACAGAACATTTTGGAAGTTATCATAATGTAGAAGAGTTTTTAAGTCATGAATTTTTTAAAATAAGTATGAAAAAGTTAAGTCCCTAAAGGATAATATATAGTTAAGGATATATATATATATATATATATATATATATATATATATATTTTACTGAAAGAAATATTTATTTTCTTAGTTATTGCTAGCTAAAGTAATCTAAAATTTTAAATGATATAACATATTAATTCAGTCATAAAGTGATACTTGACCATAAAAGTCAATTTTTCAGAAAAAGCCAGTCAACAAATTTGACTAAAAGAGATCAAGATGAAATATAAACACTGCCTATCTTTAATTAAAATGTTGACATTACTATTTCAAGAATAGATCATGAAATAAAATGGAAGGTCAAATGTTCAAATACTATGAAACAATGAAACAATATTTCAAATACATGTATACGTGGACATGTATACATATATATATGGAAAAAATGAAGAAAATGTATGTGTGTGTGTGTGTGTGTGTGTGTGTGTGTTAAACAATGGTAGTGTTTCACATTAATCAGGAAAGGATAAACTAACACATGTGGATGCCCAAGTTGTTACCACTGTGAGAAAGTGATCCCTGAGTTATAGCTTGTGTCTAGGTATCTCCCTCAGCCTCCTGCACTCATGTTAGGGCTTTGGGGCAGTGGCTGGATCCTGGGATTAAGGGTATGTAGTACTGGATTGGTTCACTTTTTGGCTTGGCCATGTTCTCTGTGGGGCTGAATGGATTTACTGAAGACAAAAACCTACCCTGGGTATGGGTATCATTTTCTAAAAGGTTTATAGTCAGGAAGGAATTTAAAGAGAAAAGGAGGCCTGCTGCTGCTGCTGCTGCTGCTGCTGCTGCTGCTGCTGCTGCTGCTGTGTTTCTGCCTGTCCTGCCATGGACTGCTCCTCCTCTGCCATGCTGTCAAGCTTTGGAGCTGGCTGACTAGACCGACACATCTACAAATTGGGAGCAAAAGTAAACTTCCTTTCTCAGGTATTTTGTCTCAGCCATGAGAAAGTAACTAAGATACGTTATGCATAAATATAATTAGATCAGAACTGGGGAGATAGCTCAGTAGGATAAGTGCTTGCCTGGCATGCACAAGGTCCTGAGTTCAACCCCTGGTACCACAAATAAATAAATACATATTTATATATAACATATAACATACATTTATATATTATGACATATATATTGTAACATATTACATGTAAATGTATATATTTTAGAAAGAATAAAGATCTAAGTTTTGAATAACAATATTTCAATCTTATAAAAATATTTTTTGTTGGGGAAAAAACATAAACCAGAGACAACAAGTTCTCAGTAAGTACTTATTAAAGGTATTAAAAGATGGATAAGCTGTTCAAAGTCTTCTTTTTGTTTAGAAAGTTAAACAAAAAGCTACAGTTAGCAGGGGTTTTTTTAATGTATTTCGGCAAACCAATAATAAAAAAGTGAACAACCGTGGTAAAATGTCAAAGGGCGTAGGCAGCAACAGACTTAGCAGAATAGTTGATAAGCATTTGAAAAAATATTCTAACAAAAATCATAAAATTGAAAAGTGAAACCAACAAGAGAATTATAACACTCTTCAGATGAAAAGATTGAACGTGACAACACGAATGTTGGCTTGATGTGGAGGGATGCGACTTCTCACAGACTGTTGACAGAAGTATAGTTCATGGAACTGTTTCAGAGACCTCCCCCTGATCCCTATGAGCTCTCATATAAAGCCTGGCATTAATTAGAAGATCCCAGTCATAGACTCTCTAACCAATTTCTACTTCTTAATCAGCATAGAATCCAAAGATGCAGTTCCCCTCACAGTCCTCTCAATATTTGTAGAAATTAAACTATCAGAAAGACAAATTAAGAATGTAACACATACCTTCCTTTTAGTAAACAGTCTCAATGGATATCCTGAGACTTGGTGTCCTTACCCCTTATTACCTGTCACACGCTTACAACATTTGTGGTGCTCTTTTAGGGAATAGGAAACCATGTGATAATCTGCCTCTTCTAGCACAAGGGATTAAGGATTGCCTTACACAGGGCACGCTGATCCATAGTTCTGCATGGTTACTAGTCATCTAGATATAATTCCTGAAAGCAGTGTGTCTCTTCAGAGTTTAACAAACTCCTAAATTATTGACAGGAAAATATTTCTGATTCCCCAAAATATGCTATCAAGTGTTTTATCATATAAAAGAATTTATCAGAAGAAATAGATTGAACATCTCATGAAATAAAAATCAGGGAAAATTTGTCCATGACTTCATTGAAGCGCTTCTCCACATTTTGCTCTGACTCCTAAAACAACCAGGATTTATCATACTCATATAGCAATAATCATCCTCTAGTCCAAATCTGTTCATCTACAAAATAAGAGGCTTCCACTGTATGCTGTAATATTCTAGAGTTTGCAAAAAAATGCCACCTTGCCTGCATTAGAAGTGAAAGAAATTCACAATTTAGGTCAACTGAAAACCTTTAACTATCCAGAATCAATGTCTATTGACAGCAGTTCTCAAATTTTCAGACCACTGGAAGACATTTAACATTAACATAAAACTTTCAGGACCAGGCCAGGGAGATGGCTCAGTAGAATAAGTGCTTGCCTGGCAAGAGCAAAGGCCTGAGTTCAATCCCCAGTTCCGAAAAAAAAAAAAAAAAAACTCTCAGAATCATCAAAAAGAGCTACAAGAACTACTTCCTTGGGGCTGGCAAGATGGCTCAGTGGTCTAAAGCACCTACATGGAACAAGCTTGGCAAAGCACAGGGACCACGGTTCGATCCCCCAGCACCACATGCCAGCCAGCCTCGCCCCCTGCTGGGCTGAGCTGGCCACACACACACACACAATAAATAAATAAATGTTAAAAAAAAAAAAAAAAGAACTACTTCCTTTATAAAGAATAAATCATGATGCTGAAAAATTCAGCCATCCATCTTTAAAGTGAATACATATTTCTATATTATGAAAGGATGAGGATATATATTTATTTCTTCATATATGTATATACACATTTATAGAAAAACAGAGTAATATACTCATCCTACCTGTGGACACAGTGTTTCCAAGTGGTGAGCTGCAGCTCTGACAATTTTAATTCCATCTTCATTTCTTGCCATGGAACAAGCAAGATTTGCCACCTTAAATACAAATTAAAATAATGGAAATGTTTTAGAACATGAAGGAAATGCAGAAATATTTTTTATGCTAGGTATGTTAGAAAATGCTCTCATTCCCTGACAGTGCAGATGGAATTCTCACAAATGTTACTGGTGCACATCTTATGAAGGAATTCAAAGACTCTTTTAAAACAAATAACAACGAAAAGCTCTAGAGAACCGTTTAAAGCAAAAAGCCAGTACTAATCAGTGAAGCACTGAACCTTCTACAGTCTCTTGGTATCAACATCTAAGCCACAATAAGAAGCTCCTATGGGACTTGAGAACACTATTTACGGATTGCATACTAATAAATTCTTGGAATTTCGTATGATTGTAGCTTAAGTTTGCAATCGGTTTATTATTTCCTGAAGATCTATTATGCATACTTAAGTTGCATTAAGCATGAATGTATCTTATTCATGTTTTATTCAGTATCAAAGCTACTTCCAAGCTAGACAAATGAAAGATAATTAAATACTTTTCCTGTCCTTGATTTTCTATCACAACTTAATGGATACTATTTGACATTAAAACAGTCAGTTTGATTTGAGCATTACTGACACCCAAATTTCTTTTTTATTATGGCTTTTGAAATTTACATTCTCTTGCAGTAAGTGTCCTTTTATGGGTGTTCTTTTTAATAATTATTACATCCATTGCCTAAGCCTGGTATTTACACATAGTTTCTTCATAACTTAACCATGGGAAAAGGCATGGAATTCTTTTCTCCTGAACCCCACTCTGGTGACTGCTTCTCCTGCTGGCACAGTGACAGTGTATGTGCAGAGACCTACAATCTCTGATCTACGATGTCATTATTGTTCAATCACTGCAAGAAGTGGTTTTTGTACCAGACTTTTCCTAACTTCTCTAGTGTCCCACGTATTATGTATGAGAACTCAAAATACTTTGTACTGAAAAGTGACACATTGGTTGCAATATTGTTGATCAACAACAAACCTCACTTTGGATCTCCATGTTAAGAGCACCACCAAATATTATTTATAGTTTTTGCTTTTTATAGCATTGCTTTTAATATGTCAATAGTCAAACAACATCTTGGCTTGCATTTACATATAATAAGATAACAGCCATACATTATTTAACTATGGAAGGGCATTGTTCACGTTATTAATGTACATGGAAATGGCTTCTTGAAAAGGCCTATTGTTGGCTTGAAGGTCACTGTGCCTGAGCTTTCAAATCTGACACATAATTAGTGCATTTGTGAACTGTTTGAAAAGGGCAACAGTTTCGGCAGCCTTCTACCCAACCCTTCCCATGGATAGCGATACCTACTATATCAATTCACAATATTCTTATAGAAAAAAACTATAAATCTGAGTACAGTGTGTTTAAAGTGAAAAAGCAAAACATTGAAAACTCATTAGCTCTATTCTTTCATCAAATTAGAATAATGTTAATTACCCAAACCTTAAAATTATAGAAAACTGAGTCCATATAGACAATTTTGTTCAGATCTTTTTTCTTCGCTCCCTTTAAATAATCATTCTTGTTCTGGAAATTTGCTATAAATGATGTTTAATGCAAGCCAATTAACTGGATAACATAACATATGAATTATCCTAAATACAATTTAGGTTTAATTTTGCTGAATTAACTTTCTACCAAGCTATCAGATGAAAATATGATGTAGTTGAAAATTGCATGTTCTAGTCAAAGTTTTATACCCAGTGAATGATCATCCTACCCACTCAAGGCCCACAGGTCTCTGGGCTTCTCCTTCTGAAATATTCTATGCCAACTAAATTTCTAGCTAATCAAATTCTATTTTAAGACATGTATTATGCTGTACAAGCAAGGTTGAATTTATAAGACTCGGTAGCTAGTGTTCTATGCAAAGAAAGAATGTAACAAAAATAAGCTATCATCATGTTTCTTAATTTAAATTTTCCAAATATAAGCATTTTCCAAAGTCACACAGACATGAGAATGAAAGCCAAATTTCTTATAAAAATAATTATTTCTAAACTCTGTACTATGTGTCTCTTTAGGCAGTTATACATTTTCCTAAGCACAGTGTGAAGATAATTCCCTGGTTGTCAAAGAAAAGAGTATGCAAATAAAATGTTTTGGGAATAACTTCAAATATGTTGAAATCTGATATTTTTTGTTTATGTAAATTTGACTATGCTCCAATATTCTTGGAAACTAAGGCACGGGAATATTTTGGAGACAAATACATCTGAGTTTGCACCTAAGTCCCACAACAAGCTTCTGGTACTGGGGAAGTTGTTAATTTCTCTAACTCTATTTTGTTACCTATAAAATTTATACAGTGATACTTACCTCTCTGGAGTATGTCTAGTGTTAAATTAGACAGTCAATAAGGAAGGCCTCATACCTGGAAGTCCTGAGCTATGTGAAGTTTCACTCATCTCACCCATTCCCTAACTAATGGGTGATGGAAAGAATCTGTGTTCTTTCAGAGGATTTACAGAAATAAAACCTCATAAGCCACGCTGTTAACTAAGATACATATAACTTAGCTAGTGTGTACTCTTTATACATGAATAATTAAAGTTTCAGTAAAGATCTCCTCATTGAAATGATGGAATAGATTGGATTGATTTTGTGTTGTACTTTTAGCCAAGTCTAAGTAAGGCAGAATCTAAATTACTGTAAATAAATGAGGACAAAGTCATTTGGGTAAATTCACACATTTATTAAAAAGAAAGGCTATAGCAAAATATTTGTTCATTTTCTCAAAGGATTAATTGTGTCATTAACATTATCAGTGATACTTTCCCTAGTAAGTATAAAATGAAACAAACAAAATCTTTAAACAGAAAGATGCTGTCATATTAAGGGGTGAGTGATAATTTCTATCAGTACCTTTATCTTTTTAAATGTGTGTATCTTAAATTTATTTTTAGTTTTTAAATTTTCTCTTGGTTCGGGTTTGTAACACAATGATTCACTTCACTGCAGGAAGTAAGTGTGCACGTGACATATTTTAATTTCTTTTATTCCTTTCCTTCCTTTCGCCCCTCCCCCTTCACCTCAAAATCACCTCCTCATTCACCAAAATCTCTCTCCCTTTTTCCTGTTATCTACCTTTTCTTTTGCTCCTTAAATCACTGATGCTTCAGGGATCTAATAAAAGAGAAGTCACATGATCTTTAAGCTGGATTTGTCACTAAGCATTCTGGCCTCAAGTTGTATCCATTTTCCTACAAATAATTCAAATTTTTCCTTCTTTACTCCATTGTGTATAAATAATGTGCTTTATCCATTTGTTGTAGATTATCTCCAAGATTTAAGCAGCCACCTTTCCAGAAGCTACCTAGAAATGGAACATTTGAGTCAAATAAAATTTCTAGTTTCAATCGCTGATTTCCATAGCGATTGTACTAGTTCACCTTCCCACCAACAGTGGAGAAGTGTTTCCATCCACACCCCGAGCCCCCAAGCATGTTACTATTCGATTTCTTGATGGTAGTAAGTCTTTGTGGGATAAGATGAAATCTCATTGTGGTTCTGATTTGTATTACTCTGATGGCCATAAATGTTGACTATTCCTCATATATTTATTTGCCACTTGTATTTATGAGAAGTGTCTATTCATTTCAGTTTCCAATTTTTTATTGGATCTTTTCTTTGGGGGAGTCTGATATATATGTACTCTAGTAGCTGACAGCTGTCTTTCTCATCCTGAGGGTTCTCTGATTATTCTGCTGGCTGTGCAGTTTGTTGCTGTGTTAGATGCGTGTTTTAGACTCGGGTCTCTCCCTCTGCGCCAGTCCTTCCGGCCGGTGTGAGATGTGTCCAGCTCTTGGCCTTCGAGCTTTCTGTCCTCGCTTCTCTCCGCTGACTGCAGAAACATCACTGTGCTCAGTGGGTCCTGCCCACGCCTTGCCTGTTGTGAAAGGTCCTGATAATGTCTGCGCACCATACCCAGACTTTGATCCGTGTTCTGTAAAAAACTTAGTGTGTTTCCGTCATGTTTTCTGCTTGCCTGACCTTGAATTTTCCTCCCTGGTTGGCAGAAAGCCTGGTGCTCTTTACTCTTCTGCCTGTGACCTGGACGAGGACTTGCTGGCCAGGAGCGAGGTGGGCAGAGCCCTGCGCACAGTTGTTCTCCCCTGCACCTGCATCAAGTTCACAGCGCAGATGCCGCTGCCCCAGAGCGTCACTCGCGGTCGGTCGTAGAAGCAGGCGCTCTGCCATAAAAATGATGATAAGCTTGAGTCGTCTGTAGGACGAGGGGAGCTCCTCACAGTCATAGCGTTAAGGGAAGTAAGTCAGATAGGCAAGCTTAAATATGACCTGGTTTCTCTTGTATAACAAACACAAAGTACAAATAAATTAAAAGGCAAAATAAAGGACAGATAAAAAGGAACACGGATAGGGTGTTTTGCAGAAAAAGGAGGACCAGGCTGTGCAATGTATCAACTTTCTAAATGTACTCCAAATAACCACTAATGCAAATTAAAAGAAATAAAGTAAAACATATTTCAAACTTAGACTTTATCTCAGTGACCCTTAAGTATATCTGCTATCTTACAGGGAAATGCTGATTTCCATCATTATTATTTTCTAGTCTGGTAAAGAGATTCTTTTTTTTTTTTTTTTTTAAGTATGGAATGCGAGGGCATGGCACATTTTAACGTTCTAATATCGAGTTTTCTCTGAACGCTTGTGGGTTCTAACTCTCCGCTCCGCTCAGCCATCTTTGACTAATGAAAGGGATGCAGGCCAGGAACAAGCACGGAGGTGCAAGCCGGGCGTCACGTATCGTTCCCCCTGCAGTGAAGAAATTCTCATGCTGCGCACTATTTTACAAGACCAGGAAACAAGCTTGGAGGTTTGGGAAGACCTCTGTTCTTGTGGGTTCACATGGTTTTAATATAGTTCACATAGTTAATTGTGACATCAGTTCACCAAGTAGTCTAGCTCTCAGGGGGACACAAAGGTCACTGTTTCACGCGTTTTCCTCCCTGGCAGATGGTCATACG